AGAAATTGATTTCTGGAATAGAAATGTTACCATGCGCGCCCTAGGTCTAATCCAGGATGCGTCACCTTATCAGTTCAAGCTTGAAGACTTTAAAGAAAAACACAAGGATTGTGGCATAAGTTCGGGCCTCTTCCCACCAAACCAAACCGACTATCTACGTGCTCTAACGTTGAATGTGTAAAAGATATACAAATGCTACATACCTACATTATTATGTCCTAAATCTAGGTTCGTCTGGCAGTTATCTAATTTAGATTCGGACTTCTTCGTCTTACGCAAGTGATATAGATAGAGATGCAATAATAAGAGAGGGAACCGAGCAATTTCGCATGCACTCGGGCCATGTAAGTTGAGTGTAAAAGAGCTACCAGATCAGGTGGATCGCAAGAACTTGGTTTTGACTTAAAAAAAATAAGTGACCGGCAATTGTCATATTAAGGAAGTGATATGGATGGAGTCGTCATAGGGAGAAAGAAAATTGAGCAAGTCTTGCATGCACTCGGCTCGTATGAGCTCAATATGCATGAACCATCAAATCACATTACAAGAAAACAGGGTTGTGGTGATAAATTTCATGTAATTCGTCGGACAACCTTACAAATACGTACTAACAACATTTTCCTCTATAGTTGATTTTTCTAGTTTCAATATCATTTTCAAAGGCTCATTCCTTACACGTGCTGTTATATGATCATGTCCTGATCGGGGCGCTCCATTGTCGCTAAGAGCCTATGAAAGGCCTCTAATCGTTGACTTTGCATTCTTAGGAGGAGGCACATGTTAAGGTTGCCCAAATTATTCAACCCCAACCTTATTGATTTGCTAATGATATTAGGCTCCATTTATTTTGGGTAAAATAAATGATTTAGAAAATATTATCCTAAAAATTATCGCATGTATCACTTTAAATAATTAGTCAATGAAAATTACTTTTTTAGTGACAACCAGTAATGTCTAAACATTTTTGTGGATATTTTTCTAATGTTGTTAGTTGCAAATGCTTCTCTTCACCCTTGTCCCCCGTTTGATGGCTCTTTTGAGCGGTTTTTTTCCATGGATAATTGAGGATCGAGTAGACCCTCACCGTCTGATTGTGAGGTCTCACGAACCCTTGCTCCACCACGGTCGGGGCTGAGCTGTCCTTGCACACAGGCGCGAGGGTTTGGGCAACCTTCGGGAAAATTGTCTAAAAAATCCTAAACCTATTATACTTTTGCCAATTCAGTCATAAATCTTTCAATTTTGTCAATTGAGTCATAAACCTTTTAACATTTTGCCAATTGAATCTATCGGACCAATTTTGGCCGGAAATCGTGAACAATTTTTCATAATATTTTAAAAAAAATTCGAATTTTTATTTCATTTTATTTTTCCTTTACTTCCCTTTACTTTTTTCTTTCTTTTTCTTTTCTTTTCTTTCCTTCCTTTTTTTTTTCCAAACCTAGTTGGCGAGGTTGTCAGCCACAAGCAAGGCCAGCGATCCTTGCCCAAACTTAGGTGAGGGCCACGACGCCCAAATTTAGGCGAGGGCCACGACGCCCTCACCAGCCATAGGGGAGGGACGTTGTGGCCTGATGCCCTCGCTGGGATCTTAGAGACGGCGCGGAGGCCCTTGCTCGTCATTAGCGAGGGCCGTGATGCCCTCGCCCAGCTTAGGTGAGGGTAGCTGGTCCTCGCCTGTGGCCAACAACCTCACCAGCCAGGGTTTGGAAAAAAAAAAAACAAGGAAAGAAAAGAAAGAAAACAGAAAAGAAAAGAAAAGAAAAGAAAAGATTAAATAAAATTCGAAAAAATATTAAAATATTATAAAAATTTTGTCCACGTTAGCACCATTCGTCCTACGTGGCAAGGCCGCCACGTACCACATCAGCGATTTCTGGCTAAAATTAGCCGGATTGACACAATTGGCAAAAAGTGAAAATATTTAGGATTCGATTGGTAAAATTAAAAGGTTTATAACTGAAATTTCGTGTAAAATGAATGATTTAGAAAAAAATTATCCTAATAATAATTGCCTGTATCGCTTTAAATAATTAGTCAATGGAAAACGTTTTTTTATCAATAACCATTTATGTCTAAACATTTTTGTGACCGACCAAAAAATAAATAAATAAACATTTTTGTGGATGTTTTTCTAATGTTGTTAGTTGCAAATGCTTTTCTTCACCCTTGTCCCCCATTTGATGGCACTTTTGAGCGGCTAATTTCCACGGATAAACGAGTGTCGAGCACACCCTCACCGTCCGATTGTGAGGTCTCGCGAACCCTCGCTCCACCACAGCCAGGGTTGGGCTGTCCTCACACACAGGCGCGAGGGTTTGGGCGACCTTCTGCCACGGCAAGGGTCGCCGGGGACTCCCCCGCACCCTCGCTCTCGCCACTCGAAGTAAATGAATGAACACATAAATTCTGAAGTATGCCGTAAAATCAATCTTTTTGTATAGGGAGTAGCTTGTGAAGACATGATGAAACAACTGTCGCATAGTATTTGCAATGGCCCGCATGCAATTAATCTGAAGACATTATTGCATGCATCGGAAGATAACTTAATCTAATGTTTGACTGATTATATTCAGACAGTTAACTATGATGAATACTTCGCGGAATTCATACACAATGTTGTAGTTAATCCGTGGGTCAACAGCGTAATAAAGAAATGGTACGATGTTGCCGAGAGGTAATACATAATTCCCCTGAATCTTCAACGGTGGCGTGGCTTGGAGATTTTATTCCTTGTTGCTAAGGTGTTCTTGTTAGTAATGTCAATGAAGTCGGCAAATTTGGCCGGTGCATGCTGTTCTCCAAGAACGAATGGCGGAAGACGTTTTGGATTGTTTTTGTTATCTAATTAGTAAATGGGTCGAGGAGGTATGACTAATGGAGTCATCCTCTAGGCGTCATTAAAAAGGTCTTACGTCTTTTGCGGATTGTTCAATTTGAGCCATAGCTTCTAAGGGCATGTTTGGCAATTTGCCAAATAGTGATCGATTCTGTTTTTTTATTCCCAGAATCAGTTTGGAAACAAAAATCCGTTTGTTAAATTTTTTATGTTCAGAATCAGTTTTGGAACAGAATCAAGAATAAAAAAAAAAGTAGCTTCATTTGGCGAAATTTCATGTACTTATTTCAGATATGTAGAAGGTTGGTTGCACTCCTTTAGATACGCGGATTTTCATGTACTTTTTTTTTGCTAAATCACGGAATTTCATGTACTTATTTGATTAGGTATGTGTTCTTTATTTGTCATAGAAAAAGTAAGAAAAAAGATGTTGACAAACGAAGGCCTAATGAAGTACGAATAATAATAATAATACCTACTATGAGATCATAAGGAAAAATTATTGCCAAAGGTTATCGACATAAGCATGAACCATGAAAAAAAGAAGAATGCTTTTCTTCGCGTAAGTAAGAAAATGTGGGGAGAGGCGACCGGCGTTAACAACTTTTTGACATTGTTGTAGAAGTTTCACGTTTTCTGTTGGATCGTTCGGTTTGTATTACAACTATTGCTCATTGTGAGCAAGCCTGTCAATGTCACACCACCCTATTCGAGTTGAAGTGGAGTCAAAGTTATCGTTATGCTTGACAGAATAACATAAGTTGAAATAACATCACAAATGAATAAGAAATTTCACATTTTTCGTCGGATTGTTTGGTTTATATTACAACGTCGCTTATTAATGTCACACCACCATATTTGAGTTGGAGCAAAGTCAAAGTTATCCTTATGCCTAACAAACTAATATAAGTCAAAATAACATCACAAATGAATAAGAATTTTATATTTCAAACTTCTGATTAAGGAGGTTTCAAGTCACATTAGAGTAAATTTTAACCAACTTAGTTAGCCACATTGATGATAAGAGAAAATAAGCTAAGCAGACCTAAAACATGAATCATCTAGTGGAGCCTCAAAATAATCGTATCAATACAGCTTTTTTTTTTTTAAAAAAAAAAAAAAAAAATTTTTTTTATATTTTTTTAAAAAAAAAAAAATATTTTAAATTTTGATGGAAAAATAAAAGGTTTTGTTTTTTTGCTTTCTTGAAAATCGCAAACAAACAGGTTAGTACACATGGCTATTCAAGCTATTAAAGCAGCAATGAATCCTTCGATATGGATGTTCCCATTTCACATATTTCACAGTAAAGTAGTAAAAATGTATCTCAAAAGTGGTCTGAGGAGACAAATACTTTGAATGAGATTCCTAACAAGAACACAGCTTCTCGAAACATGAGTCCCAATTTGATATCTGTCCAACTTTGAAAATGTAAGCAGGGTAAATGTTCGTTTTTTAAACATTAATCTGTTGCATCCAAATGAACATCTTAACCACGTAGAATATGTTGGCCAGCTTCAACAGCTGTTCACAGACCATTGTTCAGCATGTAAACTGAATGGAGGTGGCAGATCCATGAGATCTTCCGCAGTTTAAATTAGTTCATCCTGGGAGAGAACAAGAGCCGAGTACTTCGGTTATCCTGTCGGGTTTCGAGTTCCTTAAAGAATGTCGACTCATCCCCACGAACTGGCCGTCCATGGATGCGAATTCCTTTAATCTGCCAACAGAATTCCCTGCTAGCCTTTCCCTTATTATATTCACTTTTGGACTCCCACGTCCTCTCACAGCTTCGAAGTTGAAACACAGGAGTCTCTTCTCTTCGTGCTTGCTCTTGCTCTGTTATATGGCTCTTCAGCATTATCTTTTCCTTATACTAATCGGTCATTTATAGCATAACGTCCTAATCATTGGCTTTAGCCCCTTTTTGTCAACGTTAATGGCATGTTTAGAAAGTCTTAAGTTGTCTCAGCATCGGTGCTGTTTCAATGTATTTCTATTCATTATTGAATGAACTAGTCCCTGAAATGAGTTGTAGTTTGCTTTGATTTGGCCACATACTTGACTCTTGAGGTGGTTGGTCTAACAGTTTAATTAGGGCCTGCACCAGATCAATTATTAGGAGTGGGGAAATTAATATCCATGCGAGGTCAATCTGTAAGTAGCATTTGTTCTGAGCTGGTTGATCTCGGGTATAAATTAGTTTCAAGTTTGTGTGCTAAGCTCAAGAGTGACTGAGCTTCAGCTCTCCTTCACTTTCTTTCAACGAGCCTCCCATATCAGCAGTAGCATAGATGGACACCCTGAGAGCTTCTGCTTATGAAGAATGGGATTCTTTGAGCTTATTTGCATCCACTGAGGAGCTCATTGATTTCACACCATATGTTTTGGGCCAGTACCCATTTTTTCAGGAGCACGATAGTAAACACAACTTCCAAATCCCATCTTTTTCCGTAAATCCTGAACTCGATACCGACTTTGCAGGAATGAGTGGGAGCTCGCATTATCCTCTAGTCATTCCCGACTCAAACCTGCAAACTGTTTCTCAAGAGAGCAGCTCTTTTACTGGCGAGAGCCACGGTTATGTTGTGTCTACATGCCAGGGAATCGGTTCCAATAACCACACGCTGGTAGCTAATGATATCTCTCCCTACTTTGATGTTTTCTCCGATGCTTTCAAGACGGATGTTAGCAACAGCAACTCCATTGTGTCGGAGTTGAGTGGCACTCTAATGGAAGAAGGTGCGTGTTTGAAGGAAATGCATAGCGAAAGAAGAGGAAGCTTGGGTCATAATCAGCCTGAAGATGTTAGCGTGCCAATGATGCACTTGCAACTCAAAAGGAGGTTTTCTAGATTAGACAACATTCATGCTGGAGCAGGAGATTCCACTTGCATTGATGTGTCAGAGAATACCAAGAAGAGACCTCGCACTTCAAGAGATGTAAGTTCTAGTTTTGTTTCTCAATATTCTGCTTTCTCAGATGGATATCAGAATGAAAGTGGATCTATTCGGTGTAGAATTATTCCTCATGAACAATCTTATTATATGCAGCTGAGAAAGAAAATTAAAGGTCCAAGGAATGCAAAGAAGCTACTGTCCGATGACACTGGTGGAGATGAAAGTGATGTTAGACCGAATGGATCAAGCACTTGCAGTTCAGAGGTTAGCGATTCTGGAGAGCTCAATGGAGAACTAACTCCGCCATTCAAGGCATCAACAACACTTGCTGAAAATGGAAACATAGGGAAGATCAAAGCTGCTAGGGGTTCAGCGACCGATCCTCAAAGCCTCTATGCAAGGGTAATCAGTTTGTCTTCCTGGAAACATGTTTCCCATGCTCATTCTCTTAATACATTCATATGATCATTTCTCTAAACTTTACCTTCCAATTTCACAGAAACGTAGAGCAAGGATTAACGAACGATTGAGAATTCTACAAAACCTTGTTCCTAATGGAATCAAGGTAGGTAGCATCCCGGTGAAGTGTTTAGTAGCTTCTACATATTTTCAGGACAGAGTTGAAAGAATTTATGCAAGCCACACAAAACTTATGTGCATTTTGTGGCAGGTGGACATTAGCACAATGCTTGAGGAGGCAGTTCATTATGTGAAATTCTTGCAGTTACAGATTAAGGTGAGAATAAACAAAATTTGGATCACACAAATAGTTCAGAAAATACACATAACATGAACTTAATATGTGTTTTTGTTGTCTTGGTTCAGTTCTTGAGCTCAGATGAGCTGTGGATGTACGCTCCTCTCGCTTATAATGGAATGGATCTCAATCTGAGCCAGATTATTTTTCCTCAACTGTGACCTTGGAGTAATTTGAGTTTTTCAGTTCTCTTTTCCCATTTCAAGGGAACTCCAGGAAGCGAAAGGAATATAGCGTGACAGTAATTTCAGATGGTTTACTGGGTTCAAATACACTTCCATATTTATACATTCAGAACAACCTCAATAACTTCATTACATGCACTGCTCTCTAGTATTTGAGAAAGGATGTTTTCTGATGATTCCAAAGCAACAAAGAAAAAGCTATGCCTTCACAAAACACAAGGTTCAGTTTGAGTAGCTTCATATGCTCTAAATTCCAGAAAATCTTGAGTTACTCAATTTCTGTTTACAATCTTTAATAACTCGCAAGTTGCAACCTCTTATAATGATCAATTCAAAGTGCTAATTTATCCAGCTGCTCCCTCAGGCTCAAATTTATCTACAAGTCTAACAGGTATCACTTGCCAGGAACTTCACGGGACGCGTAAAATTTAAAACCTTAACTGAGCCTCGTCCCAATTCACTCTAACGAGAATATCATCAAACAGGTTGTGACTAATCAGCGCAACCACCTAACAAAACAATGCAGCTTATATGCATTTCAAGGACCGACTCAACAACAATATTAGCAAAGTATTCAATAACGAAAACCAAATTACACACCGCTCATAATATCAAATACTCCAAAAGCTTAAGCTCTTTCTTGAACTTCTAAAGTGGTATCAGAGCATATAAATCCGGTAAACAAGTGGCCACGCGGGAGATTTTAACAAATACAAACAAGAAGCGACATCTTTTGAACAAGCTCGAACTAGCTGGTGGGTGGAGCCTCAACAGGAGGAGGAGAAGAAGAAGAAGCAGCAGTACCAGAAGCGGCGTCCGCGTCATCGCCGCCGCCGCCGCCGCCAGAGGCGAGGTTCCACTCCGGAGGGAGGGGAGGGAGAGGCGCGTAGACGGTGGGCTTGCGCCGGATGTCCCAAGCCTGAGTCTTGCGGGGCCTCGTCTTCATGTGGTGCGCGGTGGCCTTCTTTTTGGGCCTCGACGAGCACTCTATGATCGAGACCATCCCTCCCCCGCCGACGCTCTCGCCGCCGGCGATCCTCGGGGCTGCCCTGGGAGAGGCGGAGCCGGCGGGAGGCGACGGCGCGACGGGGACTCGAGCCCCGAATACGGCGGAGATGGACATTTCGCTCTCCTTCTTTGTCGAAGCAGGACGAAGATTTGCAGGAACGAGGGTGAGCAAAAGGGAGCGAGTAGGATAGGATTTGTGGGACGTTATCCTCGTACTCTCACTGATGGTCTTGTTTCGCTGGGCCGGGTCAAGACGGCCGGTCGGTTCAGTCCGTGGTTCAATTAAGGATAAATACCACGAAAAACTCTAAAATTGATATATATATATATATGACAAATTTACTTCAAATTAATTTTTTGATCACTAAAAACTTCAAACTTGTACATCTGTGATAAATTTACCCTCGGTTAATTTCCGTTAAATTTTACCGTCAAATTACTAAATTAGATGGCACGTGGTAGTTGATGAATGTACCAGTTTAGGGTTTTACCTCCCGTTTGTCACAGATGTGCCGATTTATAATTTTTCATGATATTAATCCAATTTAACAGAAACTAATGGATGATAAATTTATTACAAATGTACCAGTTTGGGGTTTTTAGTGGTTAAAAAATTAATCGGGGCTAAATTTGTCACGGATGTACTAGTTTTTGAGTTTTTGGTAGTGAAAAAATTAATTTAAGATAAATTTGTCACGAATGTACCAGTTTGGGATTTTTCGTGGTATTAGCCCTTTAATTAAATGATGTTGTGCAAACTTAGTCTTGCCTTTATATGTATAGTCCGGTTGCGAGGCTAGGCTAGGCCCGTTGCCGTGATCGCCGCCATAGGCGATGTTGGCCTGTTGAGAAGCAATTAGGAGAAGTTGTTTCGGCTCGGCATTGTCGACGTCTTTACCCTGCGGGTAGCTTGATCATAGATTGAGAGCGTGTCGGCAAGAACAGGGGAGTGTTTTCACGGTAAAGGGAGACCGAGGGTAGGAGATGTCACGAGGTGCCGGCGACCGCAATGTCTTTAGCATGTTGGATGTTCTTGCCAATTGATAAGGACTTCGGAGTCCAGACATAAAGAGCCACGCAGGCTACGGGATACCAGATCGATCTAAAATGTTAGTGTGTTTAATTCGATACAGGATCGATTTTGTATATCATTGCAAGTACTTGTAACATCAGAAGCTAATTGCATGTCCCTAAAGTAAGTATGCAGTTGACAAAGCTTTTACTTTGTTTAACAATCTCTTGAGGTGAGTTGACGGTGATCTTACGGTCTTACTATATATACGAACAATTGAGGACGGTACATATCTTTCGAATGTTTGAAAATCGAGAATGGACCGACGTTATTGCCGACAATACGAATTCATTCCGTAACCTGCCTCTCTTTGTTCAGTGAGGGGAGTCAATTTAATCAAATCTGCCGGCTCTTTTGGTAGTAAAGTTTGCCCCCATTCGTGTAATCTGTGCAATATTTTCAGATTCCCGTTTAGGCAAAGGACTTATTTATAGTTTATTTCAGAAAGTAAGGTGGTAATCAAGAGACTCGAGCACAAGCAACATCCTGAAAAGCAGGCCGACTTTCATCGAGTCAAACCCAAGTAAAATCCCCCACAGACGGAAGAATCTATATTGTAATTGGACTACTCACCCCTCGCGAACTCTGTGGGACCATTTATGTTCTAATGCTCACTTGATTTGTAACTCTGGATTCACTCGGAGCAATGAAAGGAGTCGTTTTTTTTACCCAAAAATATAACCCGAGCAAAATCCATAAAAAGAGTGCTAACTTTCAATTTGACATGTTTTGGGGCTAACACGAGATACAGGGTTTGAGCTTAATTGAGTTACAATTTTCAAGTTTAAGCTTACTCGTAAAACAAGTTATTTTATCAACTCAAACTCAATTAAACTGGGAAAATTGTCCAATGAGTCCTAAATATGTTGTATGCATGCATGCCAATTCGGTTTTAAACTTTTGCAATTTTATCAATTTAGTCTTAAAATTTTGCTCGAAATTACAATATAGTCATTCTGGCCAATTTTAATCGGAAATCACTGATGTGCCATAGATGGCCAGCTCTGGCCGAACCACTACATCAGCGATTTCTGACAAAAATTAACTGAAAAAGTTAATTAAAAATTTCGCACAAAGGTTTATGACTACATTAGCAAGATTGCAAAATTTAGGACTGAGATGACATTCGTACAATAAATTTAAGATTAATTACGCAGTTTTTCCCGATTAAACTCAAACTCATTTTTCAAAAGGTTAAAGTTTCTCCTTACGCTTCTAAGTCTTAATGGAACTTAGTGCCCTAAAAACGCAAAAGGGGAAGGGATGCCTTTTGTATTCTTACTCGAAGTTCTAGATGGTTGTTGCTATTTAATTCAAAACAATACTATCACTTTTAAAAGATTTGTCATTCACTCTTGGTAGTGCCAAACGGTACATGAATCGTGCCGAACAGTGCATGAACAGTGATTTTTTTAAAAATTGGGTTGGTTTTTCAAACACGTCGAGTTGATTGGTTAGCCCGTCGTTACAGCCCTCTACAAAGGGATATGCCACAACTAGGTCTTGCAGCACAAATTGTTTAAAGATTTGCTCACGGTATGAATCGAATTCGTGATCTCGTGGACCGCAAGCAAATCTTAAACCACTCGACCAATTATCTTGATGGTATGAACACCACGACCTTACTTTTTGAAAAATTAAAAGTAGTATCCGTACCATTCAATGGTTCAAAAGGTCATTTCGCAACTCCATCACAGTCACGCCCCCACCTCTATCTCTCCCATTGTAATACTTTCCAAGATTGCCTCGACTCTCCTCGGCAATCTCAAAGAGTACCACAGGTATCTTTGACCACCGGCAAAAGTATGCAAGTACATGAAATTGAAATTGCTATCACGATTTGAGTTTCAAGACCCTAAGGGTAATTCGAATTTCCGGACCGTAATCGTCATCACGAACCCATGAACATCCTGATTAGGGTTCTAGGATCTAATCTCTTGACGATTGCGTACGAGAGATTAGAGTATGAAAGCTACAAGGTGTTTAAGTCTATATACAAGTGAAACTACGGTTAGACAAACACATGGAAAAACAGAAGTTGGAAACTGGGAACTTGAAAACCAATCATCGGAACTTAGAGAGAGCTCTTTTCTCCTTCACTTGAAGCACGTTCCTCCATGGCACGGCTTGGACCATCTATTTGCTTTCCCATCCCGTCCACCTCTCGCTCTACATCTTCCTCCTCCTCCAATCCTTCTTCTTCGTTGACCAAATCATCCATCTCCTCCAACTCTTCCTCCTCTTCCTCTACCTCTCCATCACTCGCAAAGTCTATCTCATCGTCTCCAACCTCACTATCTTCTTCGTCGACCTTGCTCTCTTGGAGCTCATCGATTTCTCCTCTCTTTCCTCCCGCTCCCTCTTCCTTCTCTTCTATTTTATCACTCCTCGAAGCTCGGCCCGTGACTGGAAGACGCAGCTCCTTCCTCCCGAACGGCGAGATCTCGCGGTGACGGTTCTTGAGGGAAGATGGCTTCACTTCATAAAGCAACCCAAAGCAGATTACAAGGAGGAGGAGGAGGAGACATACGAGAGTCACGTGTCTTGGCTCGAAGGTCCTGGTCCTTTGGTTTCTATCGGATAGCTGTCTCAACATGGTCACTGAATTTTCCTAATGTTGATGTTGCTTGAAATTAGCTCTCCGCAACAAGATGGAAAACCTGACCTGAAAGTATCCACAAAAGTATCATTTGCTACGGTTCCGAAACATCATACACACTGAAATGCCAACAATTCAAGGAGGGCAAGAGAGAAGAAAGATTGCGACGATACATACTCGTAATGGAATCACAGGCTCCAATGCAGATATAGTTTTGGATGAATGAAGACCCCTTTCCTTTTGCTGTTAGATACACGAGTATGAGGATTGACAATCGGCGGATGAGTTCGGCTTATATGAGCTGTTTTGGTCTAAGGAAGCAGACAGGAAAGGAGGGAGCGAAGACATTAGTGGGTTTAGCTAGGGATAGGACGAGTTCTTTAGTCTAATTTCGTCTTTATTCAGGCTGGTTTTTCAAAACATCAAGATCGACACGTAGCTATTCGGATCAGCAATGTCAACACTTGACGTCCCTTCTCAAATAGTCAAATAAAAGAACAGGGAGAGATCCGGGCTAATTTAGGTACAAGTTAGGCCTAGAAGCACACAGTTGCGCTGTCGGTGCTTGCTTGCTCCTGTTTCAATTGGAAAATTCTTCGGTCTTATTTTTGTTCTTATGCGCCTTTCGATTGCATCAGGAATGGAAATTCAGGGTTGTTTGTGAACCTACTCCGACACATTTTTTCTGACTTCATATGTCTGCGGCGTTTACGGGAATTAATAAGGCAGCCACCGGGTATAAACTTTTCTATGGACCGGATCATAAAACTGCCTTTTCGACTAGGGCTCTGTTACGTGTGATCTTATCAAGTTTTGGTAGCCAGAAACTTAATGAATTCAATAATTAAAACTGAATTGAGGACGGTGGATGGCTAATTACACTATCAAATTTAACTTTTGTTTCACCAAAAAGATGATGAAATACTTTTTAAAACGTGAATGAATCGATATGAATTTAAAAAAAGTTGTGAAGAATCATTTGTTAATGTTAGATAGGAAAATAAATGACAAAGGATTTAAATGTAAGAATGCTAGGAACAATTGTTGCCAGCTATGTATATTTCAGGAAAGATAAATTGCCAAAAAGTACAGATCAAGGTAAATTTGCAAAAGAAGTTAAGTTTTATAATTCATTGGTGGTCCCTTAAATAGTTTACACTTGTGGTATTTACTACACATGCGATTACTAAGAAATTAAACATGCTTTACGTGACTTTACTACCCAGCAACACTAATTTACAAATAGTTACATCCAAGATTGTCAACTCCACTACTCGATAGTTCCACTATCTGGACGGTTACATCCAACACTCTTCCCATTTGCCGAATTAGTCTTCCTCATGGATCGCCTTTTGCTCCAGCACTGACTATTTCTCATTGAAACCTCTGTCGAGTAAATTGAGTCTTCTTATCAGCCTGTCACACTGTATCGACTAATTACTCTCCACACTTGGCCATTTTCCGCTCCTCCTTTACCTCTAATAGGGTTCTATCGACCAGACTGTCAACTAAAATATTTGGACTTTTTTTTTGTGTCAACATCAAATCAAAAGCAAATGGGTTCGAATATGCATTAAAGTCTCAACGACTTTGTAAAATTCAAGTTAAGAAAGCAATACACATACAGTAAATTCGAATTAAGTACGGGATCCACAAAGAACCAGTATTGAATCAGAACAAATAGTTTACATTTTTTGATACAATGCTTGTCAGATGACTGAAATTAAACAGCTTCTCAATGGAAATCTATGAAGTGCCTTATAAAACATGGTTGGAAAGCTTTTACAATTATAAAACAGAAACTAGAATTAGGAAATCTAAACTAATTCGAATTCGAAATTCAAACTTTATTAGAATCTTATTTGAATGATCTTTTTTTTTAAAAAAATCTAATGGGCTTCTTGGTTGATGTTGTACGACTCTTCTTCGTAGTGTAGTGTCTGTATTGATTGTCCTGAAAGTTACATGTAGTTAACATCTTCTTTAATTTGATTCCTCCTATATCTTTAGAATCCGTTTAATTCAGCATTCCAAATGGGCTTTGGGGCTCTAAAATCCATCGGCCAAATACAAATGGCATTTGGTTCATTTTTTGCTCAACTTTGGCGAGACGCGATTGCATTTCCAGAGGCCAGAAAGTTCGGAAATACTTTGGAAAGAAGCATTCTCGGATTGCAAACAGAATTTTTTTATTCCTTTTAACTTTGCCCTCACTCAATTTTCATAATTCCAGAAATGTACTTGAAAATCCTAACTTGCCGGAGAAGGCCTTAGCTATCAGCAAGCGGCCGACGAGCCACTGATAAGCCACCACCACCCTCGCTTAAGGTCGTGTGACCTCAGGCGAGGCTGGCCAACGGTTGAGTTCCATTTGCAAATAGTTTGAGATTTTTTTGAAAAAAGAAACTTTAGCAAAAGTCATTTACAAAGTATAGTTTTTACCAAACGGCATTTAGGTCAAAATTGCTTCTTAATGAATTTTTAAAATACATTTTACCAAATATTACTTGCATTTTGGAAAACCCCTTTAACCCAAAAGCCTTTGCATTTCCTCAAAGCTGAACCAAATGGAGTTTATATATTTCATGAATATAAACATGGCTGATTGATTTTAAAGGATTTTTTATGAGTTTGATGAGTAAAAGTGTTGGAGATGAACTACAGATGTATAAGGGTAAAATAGTAATTTTGTGTAATACAAGGGCAAAAACATGATCACAGCATACAAAGGGCCCGTTTGATTCAACTTTGCAAATGATCCTTGGGGGAATACAAATACCTTTAGATTAAAACCCTTGGGGAAATGTAAATGGCGTTTGGAGAAAAAACCTTTATGAAGCTACTTTGGCCCAAGTAGTGTTTGGCTAATTTTTTTTTGCAAAGGGCTTTGGGATTTTCTTTTTTATTAAAAAAAAAGCTTACCCTTCGCCGGAGCTGGTGAAGGGCTGCGGCCATCGGCGACCGGCGAGCCAAATCCAGCGACAACCGCCGCTTGGGTCACGGGACTCTCACCGGGGGTTGCCCGACCTTGTGCGATGATCGCCGGAGGTCGCGTGACCTCAGACGGCCGTCGCTTGAGATTGGGCGACCTCGCCAGCCCTTCGCCGTCTGGATCCGATGTCGTCGGCTCTTGTCGGAGCGCAAAAAAGATGAACAGTAACAAAGGGGCAAAATCGGAATATTAAATAATAAGTGAGGGTAGTTTGAAAAGAAAAAAAATTGATTTCAGCATTTGGCAAATGCTGAAAGCCCAAAGCTGGTCTGGATCAGCTTTGAGCTTTGAGCATTCCCAAAGCTGGCTTTCGACCGAAAGCCCATTGGGAATGCTTGCCTAACTCTCCAGCATTTTCCCAAGGGACTTTCGAGCCCGAAAGCCCCTCGGGAATGCTGAACCAAACAGAGCCAAAGTCCTTAGTGAACAGTGAAAATTTGTTAATTAAAATGTTTATTTGTTAATGATAAAATTATTTTAATTAAAGGAATTGAAATCAGGTAAAAAAAATATAAGTATTGTAGAATAGAGGCCATTTTGTAATATCAAAAAGTTAGAGATCTTATTTACTAAAACTGAAAATTTTGGGAGGTTGTTTACATGTTAAGGATGGTTATGATGGTTGGTTCTTAGTTAATTACGCAATTAATTGTCTAATTTAGACAATCATTTTTATTAATCAAAATTTGGATTTAATTGCATAATTGATTGAAAGCGGGCTGTCTTGATAATTTTATGAAATATGTGGCATGTCTATAGAGCGAATAAGATATTCATATCTCTTAGATAACAAATGGATGGCCTTAGGTGTTTAATTTAATTAATATAGTTTGATTAAGTGAAGATCGGAAGTTAGGGGTAAAAGTTGTATGATGAGAAACTTTATTGGGGCAATTTCCAGAAATATGGAATTATAGGAAATTAGTTTTAATGTTTATGATTAAGGTAAATTTAATCAGGGCACGTTCTTAGAAATGACAATTATATGAATTACTTAAGTGATAGAAAAACTGATTGTCTAAGGTTAAATTCATGTGATGATTCATGGATTTGCATAATTTCTCTACTGAATGATGATTGCATGGTGTTTAGAAGATAAAGGTTTGTATGTTGAAAAACATGTAATTATTTTGGTGCCACTATTTACATGGGAAATGCCAAGAAATTAGTACGATATTGTTTGCACTATAATTACATGGCAATTGTTATGTAATGATGATTTGCATGTACCGATTTTTTATTGTTTTATGAATAAGGGTTTCTGCATTTGCAAATGATGATAAATGGTTATGTGGTTTTGATTGTTAATAGGGAAAATGCCAAGAGATTAATGTGGTATTGTTTAGACCGTTATTATATAATTGTACATGGCAATTTTTATGTTCATCGTTAATTGGTTGTTGTTTAATTGAGGGCTCAAAATCTAATGTTTTGGCTATTGGTCAATTGTAGGCTTAATTGGTTTATTCTCATTGGTGTTATTTACTTTTTTACACTTCTTTTTTCTTCATCTTAATTTTCGATACCCACTTTTGATGTGCAGTTTCTGGGTCCCGTTGGGCTGTGTTGAATCGCTTGAGGACTAAACTGGCTGCACATCACAATTTAGAGGAAGTTAAAGAGAACCCTCCGATATAGTGAAAAATAAATAAAGATTTAGAAAAGAGAACTTTGAGAGTGAATCTTCTTAAAGAAGAGGGTCAAAGTGGAAGATACTTACCTTTGATATCATTACCTTTTTATATTCCTATAAGCGTGCTTCCCAAGAATCCTTGATAGGCCTTGTCTTCTAAAACTCTCACGGGTCAGAGTATTGCTGATCACTTAACGAGAAGGAGGTTGGGCTAATACATGGGTGTTAGACAGCGGCCGGATTGCTGTACTGGACTCCCCAAATTTAGCCAGGAAGTGCTTAGGCCCCCGAGGCTGGTGGAGCCGTTTACAATTTGAAACTCTTCTCCCTAAGCCAGAGTTTCCTTGAACTAAAGCCTGTTCTTAACGGGTCGACTAACTTTGATGCGAGCGCACCAGAAACAGTGAATATTTTGCTGCAGCACCCACCGAAAAATTTCTAGAAATCATAGCCTAAAGATACATTCGAAGAGATTGGACGATTTTGCACCCTGTGCACAATGTATATAATGCACATTCGCTGGCTGAACAAGAATTCATATTCATGGACACTGACATGCGGCCCCAAAAGTAGCAACGAGATGGTGGAGGTGACCCCATGAGTAGTTATTGCCCATGAAAACTCCAATCACATTTTGATTTGAAGAGAGAGAGAGTGAGTGAAGTGAATGCCAGACTTAACAGATCGCAGTCTCTTGCAGCCTCGACGATCATGACTGATGAGAGGTGATGGGAGGTTGTCTTCTTTCATCCCCCTCAGTGCCATTATTGGGTAATGCATTTATTGTCTTCTTTCTCTTCACTGTGCACAGTATAATTTCAGGCCTGCACATTTTTTTGCCCTTTTTATTCTTGCTCCAATTTCTCACGTCCCGATCGTCCTGTAAAGGGTAATTTCATTAATGTTTAGTCCAGTTACCTGCTAAAGGCCATGCAAAGAGTTGCATTCAAGCATTCACCATCGCTCATGCATGATTGTGTATCGAACGCTCATGATCACGAACGCGATCCGTGGAATAATCAGCTCGTGCAATTCTTCACTTGCTCTTTTTATTATTTGTATTTTGATGCACTCGAGGTGTGTGGCTCTGACTCAGGTCCACAGGCTTTTCTGATGCACAAATCTTGTAGGATACGAAAAGGGTCCACTCGTATGCCTGACAAAAACTGAGCCCCCCACCCCACACGATGTAAAAGAAGAGCTCAACATCTTCATAGGTCGCCCATCTCTAGGAATTGTCAGTCATTTTAACCATTTGAAAGTTTACCTAAACACCGGAAAAAGATTCTTAAATGTCATGTTTCATTAATCGCGTGTGCACGAAATAACTTGCAAGTATTATCAGATCATCTCCCTCGAGCAGCCTTCTTACATCAGAGATAGAAACCTTTCTCTTTCTTGTGTCACATGACTGAGGGAAAAAGAACGTAGATAATAACAGAAAACAAAAGAGAAACGAAACGACTTTTGCATTTGCATAAACACATATGGGAGAGATCTTAGTCTCACAATCTTTCTCATAAAATAGATTAACACCTGTACGCGAGAAGGATAGAAAGCTTTACATAAGCCATATAGTAAGACAAAAATCGGAGGAAACAGCCGAAAACGAGAATGAGAAAGAAGGGGTTGTACATATAAGGGCAAATTGAATATAATACTCCTGATCTCTGTGAGATGAAGACGGTGAGTTCGTTTTAGATCAAGGGTTGAAAAACATGTCCCCGCATTTGCACTTCCAGGTCATGGGCTTGTAGTTGGAGATGTCATCGCCTCTCGAATAGTAAGCAGTCGTGGCCCTTGTGGATGCAGAAGCAATATGGCTATGAGCACTCCTACCTCTTCTTGGGCCGCGAACTTGTTGGGGAACAAAAGGGACTTGCACGGCCTCGCAGTGCCCGCAGGAGCTGCACTTCCTCGCGCACATCGGAGGCCTCGACCCTATCAGCGACCTCATTCTCTTCATCAGCATCACCTTCTCTTGTTCATCCTCTCCTCCTCTCTGCAAATGTCAAGCCAATTACGATTCTGTTGTGAATGAACACTTTCTTGAGCTGATCACAAGGGAAAGAACACCATGGGAAAAGAAGTATGATATCTATCTACGTACCGTAAGCTTGGAGGAGATGACTCTACCTGTTTCAGAGACATAAACCAATGTAAAAAAAGTCTATTGCTTTGCTTCCCCTTTTGTGTGGGATAACAAATTTGAATTGAGTTTAAGGAAAGGGCGCTTCGGTTCATTACCTTCGGCCACATAGGAGACTTGGGTCGAACCCCACAGAAAGAGCAAGAGCAAAAAGACCATTGTTTGCCCGCTCCTGGGGAAAAATAGCCATTCTTGAATACTCCCCATTGTCGTACACACACTCACTATGGTCACGGAGAGAGAGAGAGAGAGAGAGAGAGAGAGAGAGCGAGCAGAGTGGCTAAACAAACAGTTGGAGAATATATAAAAGGAAATGGGAGAGATATGAGAAGATGGGTGATCTTACGGAAGCTGGCTCAGGCTTTTTGCGGAGACTGATTGAATGCCCAGCTCCTGAATTCATGCATGCACAGGGACTTATCAATCCCTCTGTCTCTCACTCTGAATCAGCGACGGAACGTGGAAAGCGGAACGAGAGAAAAAGGTGAAGTACAATAGTGAAAGCCCCAGAAGAACAAAAGATCATCGAAGAACGTCAACCGAAAAGGAATGAGCCTCAAGCCTCGTTCGATGAGCCCATCTCCCCCAATCAATCAAACAGAAACGGAGTCAGAAAAAAAATGACAAGAGAATTCACATTCACAGAGAAAAAAAAAAGACAGAGAAACTCCAAATTACAAAAGAGAGATTGATAAAGGGCTTTCGCTTTCTCGCAAGATTTGTTCATGTGTGTGGCTGCATTCTTGGGAGGAGGGATTGAAATTTGAGCTGCAGTTGCCACTTCAACACGCCAAATCCATCTCTCTCTCTCTCTCTCTGAGAGAGAGAGAGAGAGAGACAGAGAGAGAGATTTATTTCCCAAGAATGATGCAATGGGAAGGTAGTAGGGGTTAGGTCTAGGTGTCTAAGACCTTAGGCTTATGTGGGTTTTCTTGGCTCTGAGAAGCTATATGCAATATAAGGTAACTGCAAGTTCTCTTTGAGTCTGCCCATGACGGAGCTATGCCTTTAACCTGCCTATTCGTGCTAAAATCCAAGCAAAAGTCCTATGCCCTCTTTAGAATAGACGATCGTCATAATATTTTTGGACATTTGTTCTGCTCTGACCCCCTTCATCCGGTCGTTCCTACCATTTTTGGTTAAATCATTCGTTGGGAATGCGTCTGATGGAGGATTGGAACGCCTCCCTGTGTTTGGTTTCTGGCTGGACACGACTGTCGTTCTTTGACGACAGGAGCGGACTTAGCTTCAATAACTATGGCTATGATCAGCGGAAGCCAATAATGTGATCTTCATGAGAAGAACAGGAAATGGGTGTTTTCTTATATAATAAGAGTGCATCAGATGCAATGTTTCACGTGACAATTTTCTTTTGCTTTTCTCAAAAGAGATGAGATGAACGAGGATGAAAGATCTGTCAGGGCATGGCCAATGGTTCTGCCCATAATCAGGTACCCTAATTAGCGTCGACGTGGTGGCACCACTACTCGCCACCGTCGAGCGTGGAGTAGATGACCTTCACTTGAGGACAAGCAGGCCCCACTAGCGGGCAGCCAGCCTGGCGAACGTTGCTGGCCCGGTGGCCCCCCTTCCTCTCTCTACTTCCCCATTTTGTTCCTTTCATCGGTTTCTATTTAAATTATGATGGCGAGAAAATACGGTTTCCACGAATGAGTTTGATTTCACGACACATATCAATCGTACCGTATATACGCAAAGACGAACTGGTCTAATCCAAGAGTACAATAACTAGGCTGGGATGAATGTTCCTGAGCGAGAAGAGACGAGACAGCAGCACCAACAAGGCAAATATAAATCCGTGGTCAAAAAGTGACCCGTGTAGGATTCGTGCACCTCAAAATTTCAAGGGACAATGTCAAAAGTGATCCTCTAACGTTCCCATGCTGAGCTAATCCACATGGGCTTGATTGGCACACGGGGCTGGGCTCTCTAGATCAATGGCATCTTGCATGTTACCCTATGCAACGATCCATTTACGTTATCGATGTAACATTCTATTATCCAAGCCTTGCAGACAAAAGATAAGCTTCTTCCCCGCATCACACAATTGCCATTCCAATAACAGGAACCCGTTATACGTCCTGTACGAGATGACTCCATGGGACCTGTTAAAGCTTTAAATGCTTTGCCTTAGATTTCTGAATCCTTCTTTCAGTACCAAGATGGTGGACACTGGACTTGTTTCCTGGATCCAACTCTCGCGGATTAGGTTCTTAGGCAATAGGCAAGCTACTTTGCTTCATTGGGCTGTGGGGGTCTGCGCAAACTCACAAGTTTACTCACTCAGCGGCTTTAGACAATAGAAGCTCTACTGATCACCCAGCCCCAGAAATGGATTTAGCCTCTACATCGGAATTGCCGACCCAAGATGCTCTTCACCAGATTGCTGGCAAGGTTTTAAACTGGAGATGCCAACAGAGATGTTACATTTATTGCAAAAAAAAAAAGAACAGTGCCAGTCTTGCAGGACGTCTTCCAAGTCTCTGGTGCTGGTGTCGCTTTCGTTAGCCACGACACCAACCAAGCAAACTATGAGCTGCCAATTATCGCAACCAGAAAGGCTAAGTTAATATATGCGCAGATCACATTTGATTGGGTGTTTGACCTGTCGAAAATGAGCTTTCACCTAATTCGCCAATGGAATAATAATTTCATTTTCATTCAAATCAATGACTGCAAAAAGAAAAACTGGGACGTCAAACTCTCCCAAATCTCCCTTGATTGATTATAATTCCTATTGTAATACCATATGATCTGAGTCACAAAAACCTCATATACTGGTTGTCGCAAAGAAATTACACAATTTTACGAAGATATATGCGCAATCGAGGTATGGAGGATCTGTTTCTGATTTAAGGAAGCTCTTGAAATTAGTAGTTATGATTTACATTGATGAATTTTCTGTGTCTTGATGAAGCCCAGATAAGAGAAAGGGTTTATCTGGGTTCTTGTCTTTTGGTCTTTTTTGGGTTTCGTCTTTGGGATTCCAAAAAAGAAATTTGTAGACTGGTTGATCCCGCTCTTTTCTTACGCTTCGCTTTGATCATCTTGTTGCAGAGTCTACAGAACGAGAAGCGTCTGTCCCTGCTGCTTCACAAGTTCGTTTTCCAAAGCCCATCCCAAGCACACCGGGGCCATCAGGTACTTCGCTCAGTCTCTCCCTGTCCTCCTCTTGAAGAGTACTGTTTGCATTGTGGGCTGTGAACGCACTTCAGTTTTTACTTTTCTTTTTTCAGGGACATTGTCGTTTTCTTTTTCTTTTTTGATTTTTCTGATTCCTGCGTCTAATAAGGTTTCCAAAGAGACTGCTAATTATTAAAAGAGCAAAAGTGCTAGCAAGGACGTGCTTCCTTTCTTCTTTTGTTCATCCTCAGCATTTTAGTTTGCGAACTCAAGCTGAAATTATTGTTTTTGTTTAGCCTGTTTGTGGGTCTGTGGGAAGACATGCAATTCAAATGACTTTCGTGTAGATATGGCTGGATGTCCAGATCTAGCCAGAAACAAACAACGTGCTCTCATAGATCACTTTAGGAGTGTCTCAACTGTCAAACTCCAACTTACTGACAGTCTATAGCGTGCTGAGAAGCTGCATAGAGTTGTTGCATTATGGACCTGGACCCTGACACTGAATATTAATTTTAATAGGACAACAGAATGATCCACGGAGTCTCGTGTTGCTGTCAATTTTTGTGCAATGGGTTAAAGATCCAAGGAATGTGGACAATGAGGTCAGGTCGCATGGCCATCAAGAATGGCCTAAACTAGGGCTGGAACGGCTAATTGCTTTGTGGATTGATCACCTGATCAGTCATTTGCTATAAGTGTTCCCTTTTCTCGTATTTATAAAAACCAGCATCGCATGTTGATATTCCGAATGTGTAGTTGAAGCTTAAGAATAATGATATTCTGAAATAGGTTACTCCTGGCAGTATCTGAACCAGGTCATGGCCGATTCAAGCGGTAGCCAAGGGACAAATATCATACAGAATCATAACTTCTCTGGTGGAATGCATTCTTGGCACCCCATTTGCTGTGAAAGCTGGGTGGTCTCGGCAGAGTCGGGTGATTGCTATGCTGTGGTTACTAATAGAAAAGAATGCTGGCAAGGATTGGGGCAGGACATCACAAGCAGGGTTTCTCCAGGGTCCACTTATTCTGTTTCTGCCTGTGTTGGAGTGTCGGGGTCTATTCAAGGCTCTGCTGATGTCTTGGCAACTCTGAGGCTAGAACACCAAGATTGTGCAACTACATATAAGCGCATTGGAATGTAAGGTTTCTAACATTATAAGTAACTATATCTTCTCAAATCACCAAAGCAGTGAACAATTTAACCGAACTGATCTGCTGCAGAACTTCTGTATCAAAAGAGAGATGGGGCAAGGTGGAGGGCTCATTTTCATTGTCAAGTGTGCCAAACCGAGTTGTCTTTTACCTTGAAGGGCCTTCCCCTGGAATAGACTTACTTATAAAATCAGTGGTGATAACTTGTCCAAGTGCAAATGGAAAAGAGGTAATCAGGCATTTAAGGAAAACAAAAGACAAAAACTTACCTCTTATTAATAGCTTCGGAATTTAAGAAGATGGGGACATTTTAAGCTGTGACGTTGTCTGAATAATTTCTTTTTATGTTCTTGGAAAGAGAGTGGACAGGGGATGCATAGCTGCTAATGATGAGAACATTATCCTCAATCCCGTATTTGATGATGGATTGAACAATTGGGCTGGGAGAGGTTGCAAGATCGTCCTACATGACTCTATGGCTGATGGGAAGATAGTTCCGCAGTCTGGGAAGTACTTTGCATCTGCAAAAGAGCGTACCCAGACCTGGAATGGGATTCAGCAAGAAGTTACTGGAAGGCTGCGAAGAAAACTTGCTTATGAAGCCACTGCACTGGTTCGTATATTTGGTAACAATGTCAGCAGCACTGACGTGCAGATCACGCTGTGGACCCAAATGCCAGATCTCCGTGAACAGTACATAGGAATAGCCAAGTAAGTTTGAATTTCCCTCACCTAAATAATCTTCTTATGGTTATACCAAGTGATACCGAGGACAGAGAGAAAATGACAATGGTAAGCCAAGCTTCTCTCATCCTAGAGTTTCCAGATGGAAGGACATGGCTAATTATTTCTTGTAATCACATTCAATTTTTGGTTGATGAGAAAGAGGTTTTATTCTCTTTTCTGTAGTTGCTAGTATCCTGTATCTAATGATTTTCATCTACGCCCCTAAATCGCTTTTTAATTTCTCTCAAGAGTGCAAGCAACAGACAAGGATTGGACACAAATGCAGGGGAAGTTTCTCTTGAATAGTTCCCCATCAAAAGTTATCATCTCCATTGCAGGTCCACCTGCGGGTACTGATATTCTTGTGGACAACTTAACAGTAAAGCATGCGGCAAAAGCTGCTCCTTCTCCTCCACCAATTATCGAGGTTTGTAGCCGTCAGCTGATACTTCTTCTCCATATCATTGGTGTTTGAAGATTCTCTTTGACATTCTGAAAATTGCTTTTCTAGAAATGAAACCTGTATGTTAAGCACCTGACTACCGCTTCATATTGCAGAATCCAGCTTTTGGAGTAAATATACTGGAGAACAGTGACCTATATAATGGGACTAATGGGTGGTTTCCCCTTGGTAACTGTACTTTGAGCGTTCAAACTGGTTCGCCACACTTTCTGCCCCCATCAGCAAGAGAATCACTTGAGCCTCATGAACCTTTGAGTGGCCGTTACATCGTTGTGACAAATCGCACTCAGACTTGGATGGGCCCTGCTCAGATGATCACTA